GGTGGTGGTGATGATGATGATGTGGATGATAATGATGGGGATGATAATGATGGTGGTGGTGGTGATGATGGGGACCATCATGATGGTGGTGTTGATAATGATGATGATGGGGATGATAATGATGTGGACGATGATGAGGGTGGTGGTGGTGATGGTGATGGTGATGATGGTGGTGGTGATGATGGTGGTGGTGATGATGATGATGATGGGGATAATAATGATGGGGAGGATTATGATGGTGGTGTTGGTGATGATGATGATGGGGATGATTGGGAGGATGATGATGGTGGTGGTGGTGATGATGATGATGAGGATGATAATGATGGGGAGGATGCTGAGGGTGGTGGTGGTGATGATGTGGATGGGGATGATAATGATAGGAAGAATGATGAGGGTTGTAGTGGTGATGATGATGATGGGGATGATAATGATAGGGAGGATGATGATGGTGGTGGTGGTGATGAAGATGATGATGATGATGATGATGGGGATGATGATGATGATGGGGATGATGATGATGATGGGGATTATTATGATGATGTTGAGGATGGTGGTGGTTATCGTTTTGTTGGTGGTGATGATGATGATGATAATAATGATGATAATGAAGATGATGATGGTAGTGGTGATGATGATGAGGATTATGGGAAAGAGGATGATGGTGGTTATCGTAGTGGTGGGGGGGGTGATGATGATGATGGTAGTGGTGATGATTGTGGTGGTGCTTTCCTAAAAGTTGTGGGAAAATTCTTCTTTTACCAGTCCTTCATCATCTTAAACGAAATTGGGTGAATACATCTCATATGACAGATAGCCAGTCTGGCCCCGGAAGTGTACATTTTTCTCTTAAATATGACGCACATCAAAAAATTTGGTTCTTTTCTACTGACCGTTTCTCTGCTCTGAACTCGTCGCGTCTCATCAGCCTCCGAAGCCGGACTCGAACCGAGGACCTGCAGTTGCAAAGGAAGCCAATTCGTTCTTCGAACCTCGTTGAATTGGACAACAAACGTGGTTTGCAAGACAAACCAGGCTGCGCTCAGTTCACATCGTTTTGTGAGGAATCTTGAACCGATCACAAGGGTTTTTGCTTTCCATTAAACTCAGTGTTGTTAATGGCTTCCTCTATTTTAAAGTTATCAGGAGGCTGGTTGCTTTAGAGACATACCAGATCTGACTGCTATTTTGTTGAACTGATAACCTGTCTGGCCACGAGAAACTGGCATAAAGCATTATCTTCAATATATCTTGTTAAGTCTCGTCAGGTTAGCAAAAAATACCCCGCAATTTACGTGAATTTAGATAGTTTTCCAATTTAACTCCAAGTGGCCTAAACATGCTTCGATGGCCCTTGGGGATAAGGATTAGTCGGCAATTTGGGATGCGTTTCGATGTTAAAAGCAAACACAAAAATAAGGCTTTACCTCAACTTCAGAGTTATTGGAGACTGACATAACCCAACAACATCATCTTCAATGTATCTTCACTTGTTATTACTCTTTTTTGATAT